CCTCCAAACCGGTCGTCTTTCTTCAGCATGGTATTCTTTGCGCCTCGGACGATTGGATACTCAACGGTCCAGATACATCGCTGGCATATATGTTCGCCGATTCGGGTTATGATGTGTGGCTGGGCAATGCCCGTGGCAATACCTATTCACGCCAACACAAACACAAGCATCCAGATTCATCAGATTTTTGGAATTTCAGTTGGCATGAAATCGGCATCTACGATTTGGCTTCAATGTTGGATTATGTGCTGGTTGAAACAAATGAAACTGCAGTGCATTTTGTTGCGCACTCACAAGGTACAACCACATTCTTCGTGCTCATGTCCACACTGCCTTGGTACAATGAGAAGGTGAAGACAGTGCATCTGCTGGCGCCTATCGCCTTTATGCGCTATCATTCGTTTATGCTCTCCAAATTGGGTGGACTCTTTTTGGGTTATCCAACCTTCTTGAGTTGGGTGCTAGGCGGTATGGAGCTACTGCCAATTACCAGTGTACAGAAGCTTTTGTGTGAATATGTGTGCTCGGTGGGGTCTACGTTCCGATTTTTGTGTTCGGGCATTTTGGATTTCATCGGCGGCTGGGGGACACGGCATTTGAATCATGTGAGTAGAGAAATGAAAAAACTTAAATACTGTAAATTTTAAAGTTATGTACCTAGGAGAAAGGCAATTTTAGTGCCGCTACAACCATGAATTTCTCATTCACTTAAGTCATCTGGGGATGTCTAACGATATAAACCCCGAGATTAAAGGTTTCAAAAAAGCCGAAGCACAAACTTATTATTTAGATGGTTTTGAAGTTTATTAAATTCATCTTGAATAGGTAAGCGTTGGATAGAGATATCTTCTCTACAGAAACTGCGTCTATTTTTGTGTGCTGTTTGTGAATTTTTTGCGGCTAAGCGGCTGAAACGCACTCTCCTAGAGACCTTTAATAAGGCTGCTTGCGTTCAATGAATATGTTAGCCATTAAGTTAGGTTGTATTACAAAAGAAAGTGCCTAACTGCCTTAGGACAGTATTGATTTCGAGATAAGGGCCAAAATCACGATATCCCTGATCGAACGATTACTTGTTTCGAATCGAATAAAATAACACAGCAACTAATTATGCATACAAATTCGAATTTTAAATTCGATTTTAATTATAGCAGAGTGACACAGGGTAGGGTGGCCCAGCGGCTTTAAGACATTACCAGAGTAAAAATTTCTGTTAGTACAGCAAATTCACATGGACAAATACGGTACAAGGCCTCTCTAACTCGTATATTCTATTAGACGTTGATTGTTCAACTGCAGCCGGAACCCAAACTCTTCCTTGGAATCCGGAAGTTTCGGATGTTACTCAAACCTAAGGTCTTTCGAATTAGAGGTATCGGTGTCATTCCGGTTGCTTCTTCATACTATAAGCTCTTGAATGATGAGTATCAACTCACAACGGAGTTCTCTTGTCGTTCTTTTATCTAGTATTTAGAGATGTGTGAGATACTGTCATGAGACCACTTACCGACTGTGGACTTCGGTGGTTCAAGTCCAGTTCAGTGCAGCACATTGACTACGCAGACGACGCGGCGCCTCGGCTTTATGATCTGCCTTATATAGGCAACACGGTACGAAGAGAACCTAAGGAGAAAGGTTTAAGAATGAGCTTTAGTAAGACCAATGTTCCAAGTGTGCCAGCGAAGTATTGTGGGATGGTGAGGAATTTTGCATACATTGACAACGAAGTTACCCCCAATGGCGGTGCTGACGAAGACATCGACCGCTGCGAAACAACAAGCTGACCTCTCGATACTGTTGTTTGGCAGTTCCACTTGGAAACTCACTTCTGTAATAACCAGGAGCCTGCATGTTTTCTTAAACAGCTGTCTTACAATGGTACTCCGATTTTTAGTAAAACAATCTCAAAGGAGCAGTTTCTCTTAAAGGTTAACGTTTGACGATTGACGTTTGAATTCGAAGAATCCCCTAATCGGTAGTAGATGCCCTATGTCCCGCCTGGGCTTGTGTGTTCTATTCAAATGTAACTCCTTCTACTGCAGTTTCGAGCGCAATGGCAGTCCAATTGCTCGAAAATTAAGTAGCTGTCCGTGGAGGACTTGTTTCCTTCTTCTTAATTAGAGTATAACGGAGATGACGGCATGCCTTCCGACGTTTTTCACCTTCTTGACATATCTATGTAGTTTTATTACCATGTTGGCTTTTAAGCTTGTAGTGAACCGAAACTCTTTCAGAATTTTTGAGTTGGCAACGCACTTAGACGATCGCCCGTTACTTCCTTAACGTGACGAGCTCCGGGTTCATGCTGGGATATTATTTTTCGGGAGTTTATTTTTCGTTTACGCTAAGCATCCGTCCCACCGGTCAGGTTCATACTAAATGGATGGAAGTAGAACATTTCCGTTTTTCTCTGCTTCGCGCGGGTAGCTCCGTCCCACCAAATATTATTATTACTAGCGTAAAAGAGTAGGAGTAGAACCTCCCCGCAGCCTTCAAAGAGTTGAAGTACAACATGCCTATCTCCTAATAGCTAGCATCAAGAGTATAACTTACCCTAGAATGCTATCGATTAGTTTCGAATCGATGGCCCTTAGGTCACCGGTTGCAGGATGCCACTATTGTCTTTTTGGCGAGGTATTTATGGGACTTAAACGGCTTGCCTAAGGCAATTGTTTGACCTTAAACTATATCGATAATTATTAGGAAATCGATAACGATGTCGGTATCGGGTGTAATATATCGGAGAAAATTTCAATAAACCTGTTAGCTCATTTCTTTTAAATAAATTCTCATTTAAAATATCGACTATATAAAAAAATGTATAATAATTTTCAAGCAAAAAACAAAACCAACTTCAATTCTCATATAAAAATTTAAGATTATCGTTAATTTCTTCATGATACGATGATCGGATGTAAACCAAATTAACATGGGACCACCTGTAAGGTAACAACTTTCCTTTAAAAAAAAAAATATAATTATAGAAATCGGTTAACGTGGTCCAAAGTTATGCGGTAAAATACATAAAAAAATATATTCCGACGAATTGATAACCTTTCTCCGTTTTGTGAAGTCGGTTAAAAATTGTGATGAATCCTACCTTCTTCACCAAATCCATATTCCATACATGTCTAACATTTTATTTAAAATTTTTTCCACCTGCTTTTTCCTTCCTTCAGACACTGCTGCCACACGTCTGTGAGACCCATCCCGCCGGTGCCTCGACCACGCAAATCATTCACTACCTCCAGCTATACAATTCGGGTGATTTCCGCCAATACGATCATGGCATCGAATTGAATAAGAAGTATTATCAACAAGAAACACCACCATCATACAATGTCCATCAGATCTCTAGTTGTGTACATATGTATTATAGCAACAACGATTACATGTCCGCCGTCGAAGATGTAGAATATTTGGCGACACTATTACCTTGCGCGGAGCTCTATCGCATACCCTATGAAGACTGGAACCACTATGACTTTTTGTGGTCGATAAATGTTAAAGAAGTGATAAACGATAGAATTATCGATAAAATTGCCAGGCATGAAATGGAAAATTTATGAGATTTACATAGTATATACATATGTATTTGTTTCCTGGGTTTCATGAAGCAAACACACGTAGTCAAATTATGTGGTATATTAATTTTAAGTGACGAATGTAAATATTTTTAATTTGTTTTTAACTTTTCTTTTATTTGCATATAATTTTAGTGGTTTTTCATTATTTAAAAAAACAGAAAAATACGAAATAAACGAGAAAAATTTATATAAATAACATATATATATATGTATATGTTAATATAAAAAAATGTACATACATACCTTCGATATGCTGTGAGACCAAAAAAAGATAGCACAAAACTAAATTAGTAGAAGTGTGGCATTTTTATACGCAAATACTGAAAGGATTGTGAATTTTTTTGGTTAAGAAATTAGACAATACTTTAACGTTTAATCGATATGGCAAGGATAATGCTTCAAAGACCATATGTACATTAGACCGTACCAGAAAAAAAGTTCGCCGTACACCCCAGACTCTTAAGTCTTTTTTTTCCGAGCGTACGGGTTGGCTTTTTACATTCTTCGATCGATGTTCTTGTCTCGAGAATACAACTTTTTATACCGAAATTCATGGATCTCAAATACCCCGTACCCCGTTCCAATACTTACCGCCCAGGTCTCAGTTCTTATTACCCTGACACAAAGCTCACCAAACAACATTAAAGTTTTGAAATGGAAGTTTCTCGATTATGCCCGTAGAGCTGTTTAAAAAAATAAAAAAAAATTGATTGTCGAAGGTTCGGTGCCACCGAAAAAATTTAAAAGGGCGTTCCCTAGGTTTGGCAAAAAAATAAATAAAAAAATCGAAATTGCCTTTCAAAAATACTTTTAACTTCGGGGTGTACGACGAACTTTTTTTGTTTGCTTGTAAGGTGGCACGGCCTAATGTATGTACACATGCATGTGAGAATTTTATGTACTTCATGTAAATATGTAGTTAAATATGACAAAATTTAGCAATAAGTACCTATGCTGGCCACACAAAACGCTTTTTACGAGTAACTATGTAATTAATAAAAATGTTAAAAATTACGTATAAAAACATATCTTAATCCTTGTTTAATTTACCAGCACGTCGTCCATACAAATATGTAGTAATAAAATTGGAACAGGCAAATGTGTGTACATTATAGACATTAAAGGAAAATTTATATAGGGGGTCTTTATTAGAGCAACAGAAGCCAAATCAACAATTTTTAGAATTTTTGTCTGTCTGTGAGTCGGTATGTTTTTACGCGCATCACTCGAAAACCAAAACATGGAATTAAATGCAGTTTTCGCCGATGTATTGCTATAAGTTTAACTTAAAACATAAAACAAAAATTAATTTGAGAGTTGCCACCTGTAGGAAAATTGCAGTTTGCGTAAATGGATAACATAAAGTAAATATTGCAATATGGCTGTAAAAAAAACTTATGCAGGCTTACAGCCGAAAATATTTTTGCGGACGGTTGCCGCCTGTTTGAAAATTTGATTTCAATTTAATTGATAAGATACATTAAAAAGTTAAAATATGGATATCAAACTAAAGAAGTTTAAGAAATTTTACTGCCAAAAATATTTTTGTCGCTCAATTGGCGACTGTGAATACTTTTTAATCGCTCATCCTTCTATTGCTGTTTTTTAGTCGTTGGAGTTTGCGTTTAAAAAATTTACACAAGAAAGTGGTACTATAATGGATAAAAAGTAAGACAATTGAAATGGAAGTTGTTAAAAATTTTGGAATTTACATATATATGTATGTGTCTGAATTACAGGTCAAAAATTGTAAGCAACAAAAGGCAACTTGCTCGGAATGGAATGGAATTTTCTCCGCTTCTATTGTGAAAGATATGCAACAATTCTTGTGCATATAACTCCGGCTACGCCATCTACAGTGTTTTTGCGCAGAACCAACATCAAAGTTCACAAAAAACTGCATAATTTATTAATTAACTAGTGCTCGGAAATTTGAACTCTTTCTTTTAAAATAAAAAAGTTTAATTCTTTCACTACACGTGTACATATGTTAAAGTTTTTAAAATCGGGTTTGGTTCAATAGGCAGACACCTTTTTTATAAATATGTGTTATATTTTAGAAATAAAAGAGACTGATATGTACTTTGGTTTGATGCATTTCCGAATAAGGGATATTTGTTATTGTAGGCGGAAAATTTTAGACCATATAACCCGATAGTACCTAACCTAAATATAAATGAGTATTTAAACAGGTGACATTTGTAAAAGTGTTAACAGCGCCCGCCGTTTAGCTTTACCCTCGGTAGTAGAAAAGTTTTGGCTTTCAGGTACATCTTCATCGTCGTCAGTCTCAACATCTTCCCTTATTTGGAAGTTATCGTCTCGCTGCTTTATTAAAATGTTGTGTAAGATCGCACACACCATTACCCAACTACAGGCAAATTTTACCGAAGAATCATCTTTAATCGGAGTTCTTAATTCTTTTAAACTGCTGAAGCGCTCTTTCAGCAAACCAAAACAATGCTCAATCCTTATTCGAAATTTACTAAAGATTCGGTTTAAAGAACTTCGCTTCTGAGCATTGGATTCCGTGGAGGTGACTCTGAAAGGGGTTATAACAGTGCTCGTTTGTTTATGAGCAATGTCAGCTGCCAACCATTCTGCTCCTGTCAGCATATTTGAAGCTTCGGTGGTCAAAGTAGAGTTGTTGTAGATTCTGGCATCATGGGCACTGCCAGGATAGCCCAGAACTACATGACGAATGCGTAGCTTATGGTCGCACACAGCTTGCACTTTCAAAGAGTACATATGCTTCCTTGAAAAATATGCTTCAGGGTCGTCAAGGGGTTTTTCTGCTAATTTTATTTCGGTCCCGTCCACATAACCAACACAGTGGGGTAGTTCGTGAAAAGTTTCAGATACTAAATTTTGACGCTCAGCAGCGTCCGGTCAGTACACAAATTTTGTTCTCAGCTTTAAAATAGCTCCCTTTGATCATGTTCTATGAAAATTTAATAAATTATATACGATAAAACTAATACATACATACTATATATGTATTTTAGTTTGTGTTTTACCTGTATTGCTCCACCATCACTCACACCAAACAAACTCGCAATTTTACTAACCGTGGCTTCCTCACCACTCGAACCCAATCGGTATAAAACAATTAGGAGTTGCATTTCTAAGGGAAATTGCTTACAAGACCGCGGAAAGTTAAACACAACATCGTCCTTAATTAAGTCAATAATGGCTTTAAATGTTGACCGGCTGACACGCGCAATTCGGATGAATCTCTTTCCATCCAAGTTTGGCAATACCTCTTGTATAAAATGCTGGGACTTAGGGACAGAATGATGGACAAAGGAAACGCTATACCTAAACTCCTCAAATGCGGCCATTGCCAGAGTAAACTCTTCCCAAACCTCGTCTTCTTTCTTTCGTTGATTTTCTGCAATGGAAGTGCAGGATCATGATTCAATAATAAAAGGTTTGCTCAAAAAACAGTTTTCTCGCTCCCTCTTGACAAAATCGGCTCCCTTAGCAAGGCACCAAGGCGAATTAATATAAGGTGATAGCAGGAGTACAAAAACAAAAATTTACATGTATTTTGTTTTTGTTTTGGCGGCATAAACTGTCAAAATCTGTAAGAGTGTGTGTAGAAATTCAAACAAAATTTTTCAATTTGATATCAGAAGCCGTGCGGCGAAACACATACACAAAATCAGCTGAGCTAGTAACACCACCTTACAAGGCACTGTGTGTGGGTTCGTGTGTGTGTGCAAAGCTTTTGTAAGGGAGCTAAGGGAGTGTCAAAACTCGAATGTCACTAATGAGCAAACCTTTAATTATATTGAATCATGGTGCAGGATTAGAAAATCCACAATAGAAACGAAAACACAAATGCTTCCATCATTTTCTCCAAATATCTCCAGCATAAGCAAGTCATTTATAAAAGTTTCTTTATAAAGACTTTTCAGTTTTGATTTTTCACTTAATTTCGGTTTTATTATTTTTATAATTTTCTGACAACACGACAGCTAATTGATAAAGTTTACACAATTCGAAAAAAATTCGATTCAGACATTTAGTCTGTTCCTTTGAACTTCGGACTAGAACCTGTGGAACTGTCAAACTACAATTTTACTCTCTCAACTGAGAGTAAAACTAGAACAGATGCCGAAGTGCACGGGAACGCAAAAAGCACTATTTCCTGTAAAAACGTCAGACGGTTTGTTTACATGTCATTGGTACTACACTGATTTGGCTGAAATATCACTAAATAATTATTAAAATCTATACATATTCAAATATTTCGTTGTTTACTTCCATTTTTTAACAAATATAAGGTTATTTGCTTTCACCGCTTTCTGTTTTTGTTTGCACATGTAAATCAGCTGATCGTTTGACACTTTTCATGAACTTACAGGAAAAAAAAAACTCCGGACTAAATCCTGTAACTTCTGACTAGGAACACAAATCAGCTGATCGTTTGACACTTTTCATGAACTTACAGGAAAAAAATCTCCGGACTAAATCCTGTAACTTCTGACTAGGAACAGTTGCTCAGTTACTCTCTCAAATGTGTTCCCACTTACAGGTTTTATGTCAATAGGAACGACTTCCTGTAAGTTCTGACTAAATCCTGTAAACCGGACTGCTATACAAAATACATGTAAATTTTTGTTTTTGTACTCCTGCTATCACCTTATATTAATTCGCCTTGGTGCCTTGCTAAGGGGGCCGATTTTGTCAAGAGGGAGCGAGAAAACTGTTTTTTGAGCAAACCTTTTATTATTGAATCATGATCCTGCACTTCCATTGCAGAAAATCAACGAAAGAAAGAAGACGAGGTATGGGAAGAGTTTACTCTGGCAATGGCCGCATTTGAGGAGTTTAGGTATAGCGTTTCCTTTGTCCATCATTCTGTCCCTAAGTCCCAGCATTTTATACAAGACGTATTGCCAAACTTGGATGGAAAGAGATTCATCCGAATTGCGCGTGTCAGCCGGTCAACATTTAAAGCCATTATTGACTTAATTAAGGACGATGTTGTGTTTAACTTTCCGCGGTCTTGTAAGCAATTTCCCTTAGAAATGCAACTCCTAATTGTTTTATACCGATTGGGTTCGAATGGTGAGGAAGCCACGGTTAGCAAAATTGCGAGTTTGTTTGGTGTGAGTGATGGTGGAGCAATACAGGTAAAACACAAACTAAAATACATATATAGTATGTATGTATTAGTTTTATCGTATATAATTTATTAAATTTTCATAGAACATGATCAAAGGGAGCTATTTTAAAGCTGAGAACAAAATTTGTGTACTGACCGGACGCTGCTGAGCGTCAAAATTTAGTATCTGAAACTTTTCACGAACTACCCCACTGTGTTGGTTATGTGGACGGGACCGAAATAAAATTAGCAGAAAACCCCCTTGACGACCCTGAAGCATATTTTTCAAGGAAGCATATGTACTCTTTGAAAGTGCAAGCTACGCATTCGTCATGTAGTTCTGGGGTATCCTGGCAGTGCCCATGATGCCAGAATCTACAACAACTCTACTTTGACCACCGAAGCTTCAAATATGCTGACAGGAGCAGAATGGTTGGCAGCTGACATTGCTCATAAACAAACGAGCACTGTTATAACCCCTTTCAGAGTCACCTCCACGGAATCCAATGCTCAGAAGCGAAGTTCTTTTAACCGAATCTTTAGTAAATTTCGAATAAGGATTGAGCATTGTTTTGGTTTGCTGAAAGAGCGCTTCAGCAGTTTAAAAGAATTAAGAACTCCGATTAAAGATGATTCTTCGGTAAAATTTGCCTGTAGTTGGGTAATGGTGTGTGCGATCTTACACAACATTTTAATAAAGCAGCGAGACGATAACTTCCAAATAAGGGAAGATGTTGAGACTGACGACGATGAAGATGTACCTGAAAGCCAAAACTTTTCTACTACCGAGGGTGAAGCTAAACGGCGGGCGCTGTTAACACTTTNAAAGCTAAACGGCGGGCGCCGTTAACACTTTTACAAATGTCACCTGTTTAAATACTCATTTATATTTAGGTTGTACTATCGGGTTATATGGTCTAAAATTTTCCGCCTACAATAACAAATATCCCTTATTCGGAAATGCATCAAACCAAAGTACATATCAGTCTCTTTTATTTCTAAAATATAACACATATTTATAAAAAAGGTGTCTGCCTATTGAACCAAACCCGATTTTAAAAACTTTAACATATGTACACGTGTAGTGAAAGAATTAAACTTTAATTTAAAAGAAAGAGTTCAAATTTCCGAGCACTAGTTAATTAATAAATTATGCAGTTTTTTGTAAACTTTGATGTTGGTTCTGCGCAAAAACACTGTAGATGGCGTAGCCGGAGTTATATGCACAATAATTGTTGTATATCTTTCACAATAGAAGCGGAGCAAATTCCATTCCATTCCGAGCAAGTTGCCTTTTGTTGCTTACAATTTTTGACCTGTAATTCAGACACATACATATATATGTAAATTCCAAAATTTTTAACAACTTCCATTTCAATTGTCTTACTTTTTATCCATTATAGTACCACTTTCTTGTGTAAATTTTATAAACGCAAACTCCAACGTCTAAAAAACAGCAATAGAAGGACGAGCGATTAAAAAGTATTCACAGTCGCTAATTGAGCGACAAAAATATTTTCGGCAGTAAAATTTCTTAAACTTCTTTAGTTTGATATCCATATTTTAACTTTTTAATGTATCTTATCAATTAAATTGAAATCAAATTTTCAAACAGGTGGCAACCGTCCGCAAAAATATTTTCGGCTGTAAGCCTGCATAAGTTTTTTTTACAGCCATATTGCAATATTTACTTTATGTTATCCATTTACGCAAACTGCAATTTTCCTACAGGTGGCAACTCTCAAATTAATTTTTGTTTTATGTTTTAAGTTAAACTTATAGCAATACATCGGCGAAAACTGCATTTAATTCCATGTTTTGGTTTTCGAGTGATGCGCGTAAAAACATACCGACTCACAGACAGACAAAGATTCTAAAAATTGTTGATTTGGCTTCTGTTGCTCTAATAAAGACCCCCTATATAAATTTTCCTTTAATGTCAATAATGTACACACATTTGCCTGTTACAATTTTATTACTACATATATGTATAGACGACGTGTTGGTAAATTAAACAAGGATTAAGATATGTTTTTATACGTAATTTTTAACATTTTTATTAATTACATAGTTACTCGTAAAAAGCGTTTTGTGTGGCCAGCATAGGTACTTATTGCTAAATTTTGTCATATTTAACTACATATTTACATGAAGAACATAAAATTCTCACATGCATGTGTACATATGTACATACATTAGGCCGTGCCACCTTACAAGCAAACAAAAAAAGTTCGTCGTACACCCCGAAGTTAAAAGTATTTTTGAAAGGCAATTTCGATTTTTTAATTTATTTTTTTGCCAAACCTAGGGAACGCCCTTTTAAATTTTTTCGGTGGCACCGAACCTTCGACAATCAATTTTTTTAATTTTTTTAAACAGCTCTACGGGCATAATCGAGAAACTTCCATTTCAAAACTTTAATGTTGTTTGGTGAGCTTTGTGTCAGGGTAATAAGAACTGAGACCTGGGCGGTAAGTATTGGAACTGGGCACGGGGTATTTGAGATCCATGAATTTCGGTATAAAAAGTTGTATTCTCGAGACAAGAACATCGATCGAAGAATGTAAAAAGCCAACCCGTACGCTCGGAAAAAAAAGACTTAAGAGTCTGTGGTGTACGGCGAACTTTTTTTCTGGTACGGTCTAATGTACATATGGTCTTTGAAGCATTATCCTTGCTATATCGATTAAACGTTAAAGTATTGTCTAATTTCTTAACCAAAAAAATTCACAATCCTTTCAGTATTTGTGTATAAAAATGCCACACTTCTACTAATTTAGTTTGGTGCTATCTTTTTTTGGTCTCACAGCATATCGAAGGTATGTATGTACATTTTTTTATACATATTAATATATACATATATATATGTTATTTATATAAATTTTTCTCGTTTATTTCGTATTTTTCTGTTTTTTTAAATAATGAAATAACACTAAAATTATATGCAAATAAAAGAAAAGTTAAAAACAAATAAAAAATATTTACATTCGTCACTTAAAATTAATATACCACATAATTTGACTACGTGTGTTTGCTTCATGAAACCAAGGAAACAAATACATATGTATATACTATGTAAATCTCATAAATTTTCCATTTCATGCCTGGCAATTTTATCGATAATTCTATCGTTTATCACTTCTTTAACATTTATCGACCACAAAAAGTCATAGTGGTTCCAGTCTTCATAGGGTATGCGATAGAGCTCCGCGCAAGGTAATAGTGTCGCCAAATATTCTACATCTTCGACGGCGGACATGTAATCGTTGTTGCTATAATACATATGTACACAACTAGAGATCTGATGGACATTGTATGATGGTGGTGTTTCTTGTTGATAATACTTCTTATTCAATTCGATGCCATGATCGTATTGGCGGAAATCACCCGAATTGTATAGCTGGAGGTAGTGAATGATTTGCGTGGTCGAGGCACCGGCGGGATGAGTCTCACAGACGTGTGGCAGCAGTGTCTGAAGGAAGGAAAAAGCAGGTGGAAAAAATTTTAAATAAAATGTTAGACATGTATGGAATATGGATTTGGTGAAGAAGGTAGGATTCATCACAATTTTTAACCGACTTCACAAAACGGAGAAAGGTTATCAATTCGTCGGAATATATTTTTTTATGTATTTACCGCATAACTTTGGACCACGTTAACCGATTTCTATAATTATATTTTTTTTTTAAAGGAAAGTTGTTACCTTACAGGTGGTCCCATGTTAATTTGGTTTACATCCGAATTGAAGTTGGTTTTGTTTTTTGCTTGAAAATTATTATAAATTTTTTTATATAGTCGATATTTTAAATGAGAATTTATTTAAACGAAATGCCTTAGGCAAGCCGTTTAAGTCCCATAAATACCTCGCCAAAAAGACAATAGTGGCATCCTGCAACCGGTGACCTAAGGGCCATCGATTCGAAACTAATCGATAGTATTCTAGGGTAAGTTATACTCTTGATGCTAGCTATTAGGAGATAGGCATGTTGTACTTCAACTCTTTGAAGGCTGCGGGGAGGTTCTACTCCTACTCTTTTACGCTAGTAATAATAATATTTGGTGGGACGGAGCTACCCGCGCGAAGCAGAGAAAAACGGAAATGTTCTACTTCCATCCGTTTAGTATGAACCTGACCGGTGGGACGGATGCTTAGCGTAAACGAAAAATAAACTCCCGAAAAATAATATCCCAGCATGAACCCGGAGCTCGTCACGTTAAGGAAGTAACGGGCGACTTGAAAACAGTGATGGGCAAAATTGTATTTACTAAGTATTAAGTACTAAGTACAAAAGTATTTAGGTATTTTGTGTTGTTGTAAATACCAAAGTACTATTTACTTAGGTATTTAGGAGCTGCTAAATACCCAAGTACTATTTACTTAGGTATTTAGGAGCTGCTA